GGGGGGGGGGGGGGTTATTGGTGTATTTGCATCGTGTGTCTCACTGCCTCACTCACGCACACATATACACACACACACACACACACACACACACACACGCACACACACACACTCCCGGAGGCCGCATTTGACATTCAAATGATGTGAGCTTATCAAGCACACCTTTGAACTCTCCTCCTCCATCGGTCCTCTTCATCTCTTTAAACACGGACCGATGCTCAGTGCAGGACGAAACCTTGTGTCCTTGTGTCCTTTTCTTTGTCATGTTTTTTTTTTTATTTGGCGAAAAACTGTTCATTTAACATGTTTCTATTACATGTTAACTATTATTGATTAAAGCAACAATATATACAACAACAATAGAAGGAGAGAAAAACAGGACAAAAACAGTCATGAGCAAGAAAAACTTTGTACAGTTTGTCTTTGTCTTTGACAGCCTCATTTAGAATAAACATCATAGCACAGACAGAACAAAACATAACTAAATAAGACAAAACAAAAAATAAGCAATATGTTTGAAAGCATGTTAAGATGTTGAATAGAAATTTAAAAAAAATCAAGTGACTAACGACTCACAGAACTAACAAATCACGTGACTCGTGACTCAAGCGATTATCAAGTGACTTGCGACTTGAGAGTCCCGATGTGAGAGTAACTCATCATATAACTACCGTATGACTAGCAACTCTAGTGACTTGCGACTCACATGACTAACAACTCATGGGACTACAGAGTGGGCGTAACGACTCACATAACTAACGATTTATGTAACTAGCGACTCATGGGAGTAACGACTCACGGGACTACAGAGTGACTAACGAGTGACTAACGACTCATGTAACTAGCGACTCATGGGACTAACTACTCACGGGACTACAGAGTGACTAACGAGTGACTAACGACTCATGTAACTAGCGACTCATGGGACTAACTACTCACGGGACTACCGAATGACAAGCAATTTATGTGACTTGCGACTCATATGACTAACTCCTAACACGACTACGGAGTGACCAACTACCATCTATCTATCTGTCTGTCTGTCTATCTTTTGTTTTCCAGCTACTATGTATCTGTTTGTGTTGTATCCAGCTGCAGTTATGTTGTGGTTTAGTTTGCACTGATTCAAGTCAACTGTCAACATGTCTTACTTTTAACATTTTAACTTGGGACCATATGAGAGAAGTTGTTCTTACTGTAACACCTTATACTCTGTGTGTTTTAGATCCAAGTCAAATCAAACTACAAAAGAAAAGCCAAAAAACTCACCTTTGTTTTTACAGCTATAGTTTTCGTTCAGCTTAATTGAATTTTAAATAAAGTTATATGAAAGTCTATTCTATTATTTCATTTGTTCTGTGTGTCACTCTGAAGAAGCTGAACGTCGACATTTAAAAACAAAACTGAATCTCTTTCTCTCTCTTCTGACATTTAGAGCGAAACGGAATCGACTTCAATCGACATGTGAGTAACAGAGTTTTTAATGATTCACTACTGCACTTCCTGTGTTCAATGAGGATTTAATGAATAATATTTCGGTCACCAGGAGGATTTAAATTATTTAGTTTAACACGTAGTAACTTTTCCTGTTTGCTAGCATGCTAATGTTTGTATCCAGCGCAGCAGACATGGATCAAATACTTCTCCTAATCTTTAAAAAATATCTTTAACGTTAACGTCACTCAGTGTTACTAGTTTTTAAGCCGATTCCCCTCTTAAATAACTGAAAATTATGAGAAAAAGCATCCAGAGAAAGCAAAGACTCAACCAAACCACCAGGATCCTGTTACAGTTTTTTACTTTGGCTCATTTAAATAAACATTCTCTAAACTGTTATCATAACTGCTTCATATGACATTAAAATTCTATCGCATGTCTGCAAAAAATTCCTCAAAACATTTAATTTATCCTTCAAAAGCCCAGTTATAATGTCTGTAAAACGCAACAAAATGAAAAGCTGTGTTGTCATTGCGTGAGCCGTACTGGTCAAAATGTTCAGATGTTTCTTTAACCTGGAAATGTTTCATATCTACAAATATCTGTTTTGCTGACACTGAATGCTTCCTGTACTATACAAGAATGTTTTTTTCTCGCTGAATGCTGCCGTGTATCACACTGAGGCTTTTTAAATTCTAATTCTAGCAGCAGGGAAAAGTTTACTCGGAAACGTCATTAATGTAGTACACAGAAATATGATATGTGTATATATACAGTCATTTATTTGTGTGTTACATGTCCCGTAAACAGAAAATTCACCTTTAATCTTCCATGTAAAGTCATTGAAAGTGAACACAAAATTTGCCAAAAAATGACACCCATGTCAAAAAACAAACAAACAAACCCTGCAACATTTAAAAAAGCTGCAATAGTTCAGTAAAAAACTACTTTCTCACGGTGCATAACACCATTTCATAAATGTATGTTTGATAGATTCTGAGAAATGAATTGATTATGTTGCATATGATGGCATAAACTATGAAAGAAAAGTTGTGGAGAATATTTCACGGAGAACTAGCAAGGCAGCTAGCCTCATAATCCAGTAATATAATATTCTGAACCAGCATACTAGCTAGCTCACTATTTCCACCATGCTTTAATGCTACACTGGCCACCAGCCTGCTGTTCAGCTCATTCAGTAACCAGTGTAGCATTAAAGCATGGTGGAATAAGATAGCTAGTGTACAGCTGGCTAGGTTTCCACCATGCTTTAATGCTACACTGGTTACAGAAAATTGTCAACCATCTGGCAATAGCAATGTGCTATCCTACGCTGTAACAGGAGTGTGTGGATGAAGCATTAAATTGTTAATTTTTACTCTACGCTTTCTATGAATGAGAATTTTTGAATTTGTTGTAAACAACAAACTAACTGTTCAGAGATTTAAAATGATTGTTTTGAAAATTAAAACAATTCTTATTCAATAATTGAGCCAAAGCAAATGATAAAAAACAATTATTATATCTTGCTGCTTGTATGTTAAAGAATATGTGTTGTTCTGTAGTTTTTGCTATTGCCAACAAATCTTATGCAAAGACCAAAAGCCAAAATTTTTTTTAAGTCTGTGTATACATAAATACTTGCTGTACTTTCTGACTTCCGCACGCTGTCTGAGGCTCTCATTGACCCAACCCATTGATTCCAACTGAAGACATATCTTTAAAAACAGATCACAGGTATATTGTTTTACCTTAAAAAGACCCAGTAAGTTCCCTAAAACAGCTGAGCACTGTAGTTTTTTAGCAAACTTTACTTAAAATGTAGAAAACAGTTGAGGACTATTTTCAGTGGTAGATTAATGCGCATTTGGTTTTTGACGAGTATCAGCAGCAGGACGGTCTATGTGGGATTGACTGAAAATGTTTTTTTGGACGATAGTGTAGCTCTATAGCACAGAGAAATAAGATTTATAAGGCTTTGGAAGCACAGAAAATACTTGTTAGAAGTATGAATTCATTGTTGGTTTCTGTCTCTTCGTGGTATTTGTTGATAACAAGTGAAATAAAGATCATCACAAGAATTAATGTGCACTTAATAACGAAGCTAAATTGGAATATAAATAGCCGAGAGGAACGAGAATCAACTGACTTTAGACGGCTAACACCCTGAGGATAAACCACCTGCTCTCCCCACACAACACCTCAATAATGACTCTTTAGAAACATCTCAAATAGTTTGCAGCTATTTGGATTACTTCTCCAAACACTCTTCTTTTTTTTTTTTGGCAAGAGGAGGGCATTCCTTTTTTCAGTGCTTGTGTTTTCAGGAAGTGACATGGCTTTCAGGGGTTAGGAGGGGGGGGGGGGTGTTTGCATACTGGCTAGCCTGAGGGGAGGGAGTCTATCACTCTTTGTGTCATGTTTAGTGACCAAACTGGTCCTGGAGAATGTGTGTGTGTGTGTGCACTGTCTCTCTACACACATGTAAACATGCTCATTTATTATGCACCGTCAATATTTCCCATCCGTTTAATTATTCAACCCATCCATATGAAACCTGGGTTAATACTGTTACTGGTTGTGCTTTCGATGTCTCAGATAAAGACAGAGGAGATCAACGGCTCGCCTCATTCAGCCGCCACACTGAAGACATGTCACCTGACACAGAGCTCTCCAGTGCCTGGAGGTCAGCTGTCTGGGGTCTGTTGTTTTAACATTTTATTATCCTATTTGACACATGAACACAAAGACAACTCAAATAATCCCAACAATACACAGGAGCTTAAAAATAAATAGCCCATCTCATAACCTCAAAATGCCAGTTAGCCAAAATAGAATATAAAATACATTAAAAATAAAATATCACCTTATGACCCCAAAATGTCAGTGTGTCATAATATATTAAATAAATATATAAAATAAAAATGTATGAATACCCCAGTTTATAACCCCCAAATTCTCGAAAACACAATAAATAAATTGATCTAATACAAAAAATCTATCCCATATTATATCCCCTAAATCCCAGTAAGCTAAAATAAAATAAATAGATAAGGTAGCCAATTTTCATTGCAATATATCATTCTATTTTACACTATGCATATTGTGTAAGGAAGTGTGTGAGCCAGTAATCAGTTATCGTTGCACAAGGTGTCAGTGATGGAAGTTTATTTACTTCTTACTGAGGTAAATTAAAGTTATTAAAACTACTCTGTTTTAAGTCAAACTTATGCATTTTTAATTCTAAAGGAGAACTCAAGTGAGGACAAGTTTACTTGTCAAGAGGAGACAACTAAAACCAGTGAAACCAGTTTAATATACCGAGAAAATAACTCTGATGACGTCACAGTGATGTCAGCAGTAAATATCTTAGTTTGGGTTTTGGAGACGGATTTCGACGTTTTTTCAACAGAAAGCTTGAGTTTAAACTAGCGGTATGGAATTTGAAAGACAAGCACATTGAACAGGCAGGGAAGCGTCGAATGAAAACGGACACAATCGAGTTGCATTATGGGAGTTTGGACCCATTTAAAGGACTATAAGTAAAGATATCTCAGCCTCCGAACTTAACAGAGTGCTACGCTAAATCACCGGAGAAACATAATAAAAATGAACCAAAGAATTCTTTTGACAAATCCAAAAAAGAAGACATTTGGTCACATTGGTATCTAAGAAGTTGTGATTGAATAAGGGATTCAACAATTAAATAGTTGATGTTGTTAACTTTTAATACTTTAATTTATAACTCAGAATTATCTAAAGAAATGCATCATGTTTTATAAGCTGATCATATGTTATGAAAGCTGTCAGATAAATGTAATGAGAGAAAAAGTACAATATTTCCTTCTGAAATGAAGTGCAGTAGCATTGAATTGAAATACTCCTGTAAAGTACCTCAGTGAAATGCTTTGGTAAATGTGCACAGTGCTCATATATATATATATACAGTATGTAACCCTGAAGGCTGTATTTACAGCTTGTTGTCTTGTTTGTTTGTCTTTGCTACAGGAGCTCACCTCTCTTCACACCATGCAGCAGCTGGTTCTGATGCCACCGTCTCACCTGTCGTCTCCCTCACCCTTCCTGCTCTCCCAGAGCCCCACCAGCCACCAAGGTGGAGCCCTAAATCTGACACGTTTTTGTAGAAATCCATGGTTTCAGCAGCCAACCATGAATGAACCATGAAACCATCAGTAAATTATGGTCCATTTAGAGTCAAACAGACAATAAAGCAGGGGATGCTTTAGGGCGGGGCTACACGGTGATGTACCCTGGTTTTTGGGGGAATGTGCATGCTGCATCTATTTCTTGACAACAGATAATTGATCAAAATCTGCTGTTTTCCTTTGCAGCCCTTCTGCAGCAGAACCTGCTGTCCCTTCCCTGCCAGAGTCAAACTAGTCTCCTTCAGCATCAACCTGGACTGGCTCTGACTCCCCAGGTAAATCCAGACCACTTCCTGTCTCCACACATTTCAGCACAAAGTGAATGCATGAAGCAGAGAGACATAATCTGGACATCTGGCCAAATAAACGTTGTTGTGCTACAGGACAGTAAAAACATTTTGTTTTCTTTTACGTCACTTGGAAACTGAAACATTATTTCTGTGTTGCCTGTTATCTGATCCAGGCTATGAGTCGCTCCGGTCTGGTAGGCCCGTCTATGGAGAACCACATGGACATGTCCCACCTGCAGATGCCCAAACACATGTCAGTGCCACCGCAGGAGGAACCCAGTGATCTGGAAGAGCTGGAGCAGTTTGCTAAAGCATTCAAACAACGACGCATCAAACTGGGCTTCACCCAGGTAATTAAGAAGAAGAACTATACTTTGTTTCCCTGAAAACTGGTGCTTATTGAGTTATGTATTTTTTTATGTTCTGGAGAAGATTGAAAACCAAGAGACCAAGTTTCTAAGGCCTTTGAAGGCATTAACACCCTTTTTTCCACCAAAAGTAGAGGCAATATGCGGCACCACTGAAGAAGCCTGGGATCAGGATCTTTTTGTCAAACTGATGAAGTATATTTAGTTTGTTTTGTATGATGAGAAGGTGAAATAGTTCACGCGTTTTGTGTTTTCACAGGGAGATGTGGGCCTTGCGATGGGAAAACTGTACGGGAACGATTTCAGTCAGACCACAATCTCTCGCTTCGAGGCTCTAAACCTCAGCTTCAAAAACATGTGCAAGCTCAAACCTTTGCTGGAGAAATGGCTGAGTGACGCAGGTACAACACAGTGACTGCATTTTTTACATTACAGTATCACTGATATTCTGGCTGGATATGAGAAGGGGCTAGAAAAGAAGTAAATCAAATGTAAAATTCAATAAAATTGTCTCACCAAAACAAAAACAAGTCTTGGTTTTTTTTTTACATTAGAGAACTCACCTCCTGACTTGATGAACAACCCCACCTCTCTGCCGCCGCTGATAGAGGGTTACGGACGCAAACGGAAAAAGAGGACGAGCATTGAAACAAACATCAAGATGACTCTGGAGAAGCGTTTCCTTGATGTGAGTTCAAAACTAAATCTATATTTAATACTAGAAAGGTGCACTCAGTGCAGTGCAGATCTCCGTCAGGTGTGTCTGCAACGACCACTGCTGTATTGTGTGATTGAATGAATACAACAGACAATTGGCTAACTATTGTCTAGACACCATTGAGCTGTAAGGCGTCGTGAAAAACACTTGATTCAAACTCAAAAACAAGCGGCGGTGTATGCAAGCAATCGGCTCAAAGTCGTCCTATTGGACATTTTACACAATCTTGCTGAAATGCGATGTACTCAGCAGTATGTATACTGTTTGTTTCGTTAGCTGTAAGCTAAACACATCGTCCAAAATTACTAAAAGTGAAAATACTTATCCCACCACTGGGCGCAGAGTAGCGGCTGGTGGTTGGCGATGCACTCAGCTGTGTTATTACTTCTGGCCACCACTGGCTGTGGGTTGGTTAAGAGTAGTGAATAAGTCAGCAGGCAGTCAATGGCAACATAAGGGTTCGTTCACATGAAGCGTTTTTTGCGCCCTCAAATCCATTGTTGCCAATGTAGACACAAAGAAGGCTCGCTCAAAAGCAAGAGGGGTACCCCAAGATAAAACTAATTAATTCTGCAGCATGTCATGTGACGAGGAACAACCAATTAGAGCTGGAAAAATCGTTTCTTCTGCCGTAAATATCAGTCTACGGTCGATGTATGGAGGAAAAGTTAACCATTTTTGGGCTGTACCGGAGCTTAATCATCCGTCATACAGGCTTTTTTACTTGCTTCACTCTTAAAGTCCAAACTGACAAATGATGCAGTGAAGCTAGTGTGGAGGATTTAGGTCCTAGAAATTCATCTATCTTTGTTTTGACTTTGTTTTGTTTAGTCAGCGGCTTACTACTAAATTACTGCAACTTTATCATCATCGTCATCGCAGCTAGCAGGTTTTCGTTGCTTAAAAATGACAGGGGCTACAGTAGTGCAAAAAACGGCAAGGATGCCGTTTTTTCACGCATTTTTAGATGTGCCCCTAACAGTCAATAAAAGGTGTTTTGTGAAAGCGTGAGTTACCACAATCACGCAAGGTCCTTTAGCATGCCGCCATAACTTGCCACCCAAAATATTCTGCAGTTTGCTGCAGCAGAATGTGAGATAAGCCGTGGACAGACACAGAGGTTCACACTCACTAGGCTCACGGAGGCACATACGTGAGCGGTGGCATGATCCTCCTGGCGGAGATTATAAACAGGTTTTTCCATTGAGAGCATGTTCATCTTACTAACTTATAGAATTTATTACGTATAGAAGAAAAGTTGGTTAGCATTATTAACCAACTTTTTTGTCTCTTAGGCTAACAGACATCGCACCTGATCTCTACATCTGTACAGACACAAAAAGCTCTATTTCAAACATATAAGTTATATATTTTTTACATAAGTTTTAAAATATCCTGATAAAGAACAATATATATGGACACCAACAGCGGTTGCCAGGCTCTATATACCTTAAAAATGTCCCGTCCTAACGTTTTAATGAAATGAGGAAATCCTGTTTTTTGTTGTTGTTGTTGTCTTCAGAACCCCAAGCCCAACTCTGAAGAGATAACCCTGATCTCAGAGCAGCTAGCCATGGAGAAGGAGGTGGTTCGAGTTTGGTTCTGTAATCGGCGTCAGAAGGAGAAGAGGATCTACTGCCCGGTGACGAGTATATCAGTCAAGTCACACAGCTACAACTCCAGAATGGTTAGCTGTCTAAAACATCGATCTCTTTCTCTTAGAATAAAAAATATATACATATACAACTTTCATGTGTACTTTCCCTTTAATTCATTGTTATTTGTATTAATTGTTACAATTAATTTATATCATTTAATTCAGAGGCTAGCTGTTTCCTTCTGCCTCCAGTCTTTATGCTAAGATACGCTAACTATCAGTGGAGTATATATATCATAGAGCATATATATATTACAGTCCTAAAGGGAAGTTTGTTTTATCTCATCCGTTTTCACACAGTTTCAGGCCACAACATCCAGATCCTACAGCCCTCCGGCTACAGGCAAGTTTCCTACGTTCAACTATTGATAACGTTCATTCTTGATGTTGGAAACAACAAAACATTTTCATCTCTTATCTTACTCTCCAGGGCTAAATAGCACACGACTGTAATAAAAGTATGATCCATGTATGTGTGCATATACACTATATAATGATGTTTTGACCTTTTTCCTTCCAGTTTCATCGAATTCCTCTCCAAACAGTGGAAGCCGTGAAGCTTCTCCCAACGGATTGTCAGCAGCCTCCGTCTCTTTAGCGTCCCAGGTTAACACAGCTTCCTACAGCACACCAGGGTAAGAAACACCAACACAAACTCACCTGTGGACCACCGATTTTGTCTCCAATGCAATAATTTAATGGAAAAATCCCATTCGCTTTTTATCAAGGCAACCAATTCAATGCCAACTTCCGGGTTGGCCAACACAAATTTTTCACCGCTGCAGCACTCTATACTTTTGGGATTAAATCTACAGCAATGCATCACTTTTTATTTGTCTGAGTGGATAATCCTCTTTGTCCTTTCAGGTCCTGGTACCGCACATGGAATCCAGCGTATCATCACTGAGAAACATGAACTGTATCATATGAAGCTTTTTGAAGATTTTGTTTTTGTTTTGAGAAGGATGTACAGTGAAGAGATAACAAAAAAAACCTTGTTGTGAACAGGGTTTACAACCAGAGAGCCAAAGCTTAGACGGACCCATCGGCGAAAACAGCAGAGGACTGCTGTTAAAACCGCCTCCAGCTGTTTGATTTGTGTTCAGGTGACTCTTTGCGTAGATCAGCTGCAAAGAGGAAGAATACACATAAAAACACCAGCGGGGATTCTCATGTTCGAGCCTGTGTGGCTCAAATAGACTGAAACAACCGGTTTGAATGATTGTGTACCGAGCTGTTCCCTTTTTGTTTCTGCCATCTTAATTGCCGGGCTCTCAGCTGTTGCTGTCATTGTATGTTTTTATCATAGCTAGTGTTGTTGTGTTTGTGAAGTTTATTTAAATCCTACAATGCGTACTGCTGGCCTGTCTAAATAAATATGCAGTTAAAAGACATTTATTTATATTGGCCTTATATTGAGCTTTTTTTTTTATTAGAGATCAGAACGGCTTTTGATTTAGTTATTTATTTCTTTAAAGGATGGATCTGTTTTTATTAAAACTTGGGTTTTATTGTTGCAGCTTTGGCCATCATTTCTATCAGTTATGACAACAACAGTGAAACGCAATTTTTCAAACAAAATTTGAGCTGTTTATTCACATAAGAGAGATTTCTGTATTTATGTTTTTGTCCTTGATTTTGTTCACTGGTTTGAATTTGATGAGCTGGAAAAAAGGTGACGTCAAAGTCCTGAAGCAGATTAGCTTTTTATTTGTCGTCATACTTTTTAGATGTCCTTACCATATCTGTGGCTCCTACTTTATATATTTAAATATTTAAAAATGCTCAGTAATTTCCTAAATAAGTTTGGGAACCTTTCTCAAACAGGAGTAACTTTCAATTTGTTTAGGACTATTTTCAACTATCTTTGTTTGGCTCATTTTCTGTAATCAGTGTAGCATTAAAACATAGTGGAATTAGCACGCTAGCTACCTAGCAAACGTGCAGCTAACTTGTTAATTCCACCATGCTTTAATGCTACACTAGTTCAAACCGTCCCTCCGCCTCACTCTCCACGTTTGGTTGTTGTAGTGTCCTTTGTATATTTTATTTTATAGGAATGTTTTGCAGTGGTACCGCACTCTGAGCTAAGTAAAGCAACCCCTAAATCATGATGTTATATAATGTAACAGCAGGTACTTTATAAAGTAAAGTGATGTTTTTACCGACGTAACAACCATGTTAAGGGTTGAAAGGGCTGTTACTGAGTCTCAGGGAATCATTTGTCTTTACCTCCAGGAACCATTGTTGACTTTATTTCCTGTCATTAAACAAAGGATGGCCATGTGTATCATCGGTTCTTTCTTTAAAATGAAGCAAAGTAAACTATTTAAAAAAAACTCTGCTTTATGGTCTGTGTGACTCTAAATGGACCATAATGTACTAAATGAACATCATGCTGTATTGAAGAAGACTTGAAACTAGAGATTGAGACCATAAACTCATGTTTACAATGTTTACTGAGGTAATAAATCAAGAGAGAAGTAGAGTCATTTTCTCATAGACTTCTATACAACCTGAGGAGTCGCCCCCTGGTGGACACTAGAGAGAATGCAGCTTTAAGGCACTTCAGCATTGACTTCACTTTTCAGAACTGGCCCCCTAAAACCCAGGAATGAGTCAGCAATTGTCTGGAAGTTAATGTTTTGGTTAAATGTCTGAAACAAGGTCTGCGGTTAACACAATCCAAAGAGATTTTAAAATCAGATGAAAAGTTCCCGATGGCTTTTTGTTGAGGGAACCATGATGCTAACTTCCTGTTGGCCTACAGAAGTAAGTCATCCCTGCAGCACTTTATAGGGTAGATGAGGGATGTTCCTTGGCATGCAGTTAGTTGTGTCAGACAAAGTTTAGAATAACAGATCTGGAACGGTCCGTCCCTGGTGGTCTCTCCAGCTGACTCATAATAAAAACCTAAAAGTAGCTTCTAATGGCTTCCAGCTAAATCACACTGGAGATTCTATATCCACACTTTACTCTATTCCTTCTGTTTTAATGTGAGAAACCATGAGAAACAGTAAAGACACACAACTTTTTTCATGAAAGACACTGTTTATTAAAGTGTTTGCTATCTTGTAGAAAGAGCACAAAATGTGAAATAACAGTAATAATTTAAATACTATATAAATAAAAACAACATGGACAAGATTTGGAGGAAATATGTTTTTCTGTCAGGTTTGAAGGAAATAAAAACACTTTGGATGCAAAGAACAAAGAATGATGTGACAGGAGTATTTAAATAGTTTAAACACAAAGTTGTTAGCGATGAAGATACAGTAAAGTCAATTTGTGTCTGAAAGACTGATGGCAACCAACAGCTGTTTCCCAAATTAACCTCTAAATACTGAGTTCGAATCACCAAAAGTAATTTTTCAAAATAATAGAACTTTTTCTTCTTTCTGTAGCTGCTTCTTATTCAGAAATGTTAAATGTATATATTCTCTCTTAAAGATATGTATATGTGACCTGCTCTGATACTATTTTGTAGAGGTTTTTGTCACACTTTCTGTATGTTTTGGTGTTTTAAACAGATAAGATATTAGCTAAATTAAATAAGGGCTTATCTGTATGACCACCAACACTAACTATTTTACTTTGAAAAGCTGAAAAAACGCTTCTGCTGAGTGGAGCAGTTTTGGGGAATGTGACCAAAAACACACAAGTATTTTTTTGGTATCAGTGGAAAAAAAGATGGACTCACACATTTGGGTCGACCGGTTACTTAAATTAGATTTGAAAGACTGTAAAATGAGACTGATAAAGCTGCGTTTTAGTTAGTTCTATATACGGAACATTTTTGTTGAATTCTTATCTTAATTGACCCTTTGCTAAGCTCCGCCCCTCGAACGCACACTGACAGCATTCTTTTGTGCAATTAATTTGAACGTCAACATAAAACGTAAATGATATGCGAAAAAGCTACACTCGAATTTTTTTGTGCAAATAAAGACATCAAACAATCACGTTGTGCAGAACGGAATACATATGTGTGTGTGCTTCGCTGTTCGGTAGGTGTGGTTCAAACTTCAGTCCACTTCTCTTAAGCCACATGGTCTCCTGAACTCTTGTCCACGCTCGTGAATCCACTTGTTTGACACTGACACAGAAAAACAAAACAAAAAAACACTTAAAATAGCCTTTATATTAGAAAACAGAAACACACTACAAGCCTTCACTACTTCCATTTTCCACGTCGGCATGAGGTGAAAGCATTGGCCCCAGAAAAGTTTAGCGTACGTTTGTAATGGAGCATGAAATGTGAAGATCAACACTGACTGATATTCCTGTTCATAAAAACATGATTTGACATGCAACTTAATTAAACTACCGTTAAATCATTTTTATGTGTACATTTATGAGGATAATTCATTTAAAAAAGACACATTTGAGTCCCGCCTACACCGGAGGGGAAAAAAATGAATCGCTGTCTATTGACTTTGTGTTTTTGCGACGATTGAATACCATTCAATTTATCAATATATCCAGATATAATATAGTTATTTTTCTGATTGTTTTTCTGTCCCATGCAACAAACCTTGTACTAGTGTCTTAATGTGTGATGCATGTGAACTTTGACTCACCCCATTTACTCCCGACTAAGACGGGACAGGCTGCGTGTCTGGTCCGATAGTCTCCCTCCCCGCTCTTGAACAGATTGTACCAGAACACCGCCGTCCCCTGTGAAGAAATGGAACAAATGGAAACATGGCAACATCCAATGTGCACAAGAGAGATGGGAAGAGTAAACACACTCGACACACTATGAAGACAAACTCCGCGTTGTTTTTACCTTTCTGGGCTTGATTGCTGCTCCAAAGTCGGGGAAGACGGTGGCACCTCCTGCCTCCACATCACTCATCTGAGAAAAGACAACAAACACTTGGAAACTTTCTTTGTATTTTTCTTTAAAAAATAAACTCTGCTATTCAACAATCCTCAAAGGATGCATTTAAAAAAAAAAGAAGTAAAGTTATCTGTGTTTGTTTTTTAGCAAAATACTATGTACATTTGTTTTATTTAACAATAACTGTGATAAAGCAAATAATATTAATTTTCAATATGTGTATTCATCCAGAAATACAAGTAGGATGTTTACCCAACACATTAAAAGTTTTTATGTCATTTAATTAAAAAAATATATATACGTATGTCAGATGCTGTTAACACGCCAGCAATACTATTTGTATCCAGGCGGAACAGAAAATGTGTCTATTTACACCCAAACTACGACTAAATCTTTCTGCCACCAAGAACCAATCTCACCCAGTTAATGTGAGAAACTCCTTGATGAGCAGTATGTGATAACAACAACAAGGTCTTTTGAGAAATAAAATGCACAAAATGAAAAGTCACACATCTTTTCACAACAAAGGAGTGCAAGAAAGTTTCTATGTTCACTACAGAGAGAAGACTAGAAAGACTGAAGAAATACTCAAGCAGAGCAAAAGAGAATACGGTCTTTTAAACAGACCCACCAGTTGTTTTCTATTTCTTCACTAGTCACATATCTTCATTGATCTGAAGAGATCGTCTGTTATCTAAAATATAAACTGTAAAGTAATGTTCTCCTTGTAGGACATGTTTCAGCGTCGTACCAAATATTTTCTGGATCACAGTTATAACAATTAAACTGGTTTCTACTTATTTCTGCAATGCTTCGATACGAACATTAACTCCCAAACTACTTGTCTCTGGGTATTTGAGTATAAAACCAACGTGTCTCATCTCTGTAGAGTGTGGAGTATTAATTAAAAGTAGTCGTCACGTATTTAATTAGCCTGTAAATCATTTACAATAATCGCTCGTGCTAATATCTACTAGCTAGTATGCACATATCCTTGCACGTAAACTCAAATGTTTTAAAAACACAAATGTTTATCATTTATCCTGTATTTGTTAACTAAAACTGAAGCATTGCAGCACTCTTACCCAACCACAATCATAATAGTCAGCATGCTCGCATTAGCGCTAGCTATTAGCTTGAGCTAATTAAAAGCGTAACGGCCATCGCGAGTCAAGAACAGTGAAATTCGGCTAAATGTTTAAGTGACGTAGACCGAGCCCAGAAGTTCATGTGGTGCTTTTGATGTTAACTGTAACTGTAGCATTAAAGCATGGTGGAATTAACAAGCTATCTAGCTAGCTGTGCTAACAGCTTACTTTCAAGTGCACATAAAAAATAGAGAAACGGCTTTGGTTGTAATGCTACACGTTCCAGAAGGATTTTTTTGAATTTCAAGGCTAGACACACTTTAGCCAAAACTCCGAGGTTTAGTTACTCTTTAACTAACAGGTTTTTATTTTTATTTCTGTAGTATCTGCTGCTACACTACCTGGCTATAAGTTCCCTTCAGGAATCAATGGTTTCACTGTACTCTGTCCTGTTATACTGTCCATCTCTTATGAAAGACTTGTTTATTCAGAATAAATAAAGACTGATGATAAAGATAATTAATGTTCTGAAGCACTTTCACATCATGTATCAAGGTGAACAGCAAATCAATCAATTACTGCAAACCTCATTCAAAAGTCAGATCTTTTTCTCTTTTTGTGTATAATTGTACTTCGTACAACCCAGTGTCAGCGAGGGTAAAATAAAGAGTGGCTTCTACATCAGCATGTTGACAGAGGATGGCCAACAAAACTCTCAAACATGTACTGGAACTGATTGACAAAAAAAACTTCTGAGGTATTTGTCTGCAAAGTTTCTCAGTCACGCAGGTGAAGGGATTATCATCTCTGCAAAAATCTGTAGAAATAATTACAGCTTCTTGCCCCATTACATCGAGCAACTCTAGGATCTGAAATATATGACTGCAATGCCACACTAAAGGCCAAAATCAAAGTCAATCAATCCAAGTCCAAGATTGAACCAGAGCTCGTGCATTTGCTCATGAGGCTGAAACAAAAGATTTTAGGGGCGTTGCTACACGGCGACTGGATGCACGTACTCACGTAGTTCAAAAAAGTCGCCACACGATTTCCAGTGCCTAATCTTTTGAAAGCATCAGGCTCATCTTTCTACAAAGATGAAATTCAAGAACAAAAAAATACATGATGAAAAAAAACACCGTTCGCTTGCACGCACGTGTACTTACGTAGTTTAGGAAGGTAGCGAGTCTATTTCCGTCATGGTTGTTGTCAAAAGGACGCTGCAACAGATGGTTAGAAGGTTTAACCCATCACAAGAAAGACCCACAGTAGGAGCCCGGCCTCTAAAGGCCCTGTAACAACACATTATGTAATAACACTGCTTCATGTAACAACACATTATGTAATAACACTGCTTCATGTAACAACACATTATGTAATAACACTGCTTCATGTAATAACACATTATGTAATAACACTGCTTCATGTAATAACACATTATGTAATAACACGGCATAATGTAACAACTCATTATGTAATAACACGGCATAATGTAACAACTCATTATGTAATAACACAGCTTCATGTAATAACATATTATGTAATAACACATTATGTAATAACACGGCTTCATGTAACAACTCATTATGTAATAACACTGCTTCATGTAATAACATTATGTAATAACACATTAAGTAATAACACGGCCTAATGTAACAACTCATTATGTAATAACACTGCTTCATGTAATAACATATTATGTAATAACACATGATGTAATAACACATTATGTAATAACACATTATGTAATAAGACTGAAGGAAAGGTGGCAGAAGAAGTGGGAGGAAGAGAGAACGAAGGGATGGTTTTATAGAATTCATCAAATAAATACACTAATAATAGAATATGAAGTCTCTTAACAAGCTTGTTTCAATTAAAATATCTATATAAATGCTAATGTTGCACAGCCAACAATGAGCAACAAATGACTCCTCATAATAAACAGAAAACACATTCATTTAGAGTGATGTTGAAACATCTTTTGACTTCTTCATATTTCTGTCACTCTCACAGAGAAATGAACTCACCCGTGAGAAGTCGTAATGTGGCTCGTACTGTCCTCCAACTCCGTAGTTAGCCACCTGGTGATCCATCGACAAAGATTTATTATTAAAATAATTACACAAAAAAAAATACTTCCCTGGCACCTATAATGCAAGTATATGTAGCTTTAAAACTTGTGTTTTATTAGTTGATAAAAAAAGAATGTAACCTGACATACTTAGATCTGAGGAGCATCATCAGGAAACGCTGCTGTTGAGGTTTTTAAATGTGATTTATTCAAAATGTATTTTTTGTTTTTCTTACGCTTTTACTGAAGTTCTTACTTCCACAACAAGTAGTGCAGCAGGAGTGAGACTGAGTGTGAGATTTTTCTTGAAGAGTTTCTAAACAGCAGAGGGTTATTTAATGACATGTTTCATATCGTAGAACTAAGCTTTAAAATCTCTGACGCTTGTTTTTACCACAGACCTTATTTCACTTGTGTGTAAATGATTCTGGATATCAGATTTCTGTGTAACATGTGATGTGATGATGTAATAATGAAAGTATTACATCACCTGTAGTAACTCTGCAGTGTCGACCTCGAGGCCTGTGATGTCTTCTATTCTCTGGTTGACTCTGACAATGACCGGGTCGTCCACTTCTTCCAACCAGGCACTGAACAGACAAAGACGTGCACGTGTGTGAGCACACAGTACAGTGCACACACACACACACACACACACACACACACACACACACACACACACTGAAAATATCCGACTTCCTACAAAGGAAAAGTGAAACTGAACCATATGATAATATTATCTTATTAGAAACACGTTTTTACCAGATTGTCTATGTTACTTTACAGCTTTACAGAGGCTTTTGTTTTGTATCAGCCTCGTCATTTTTAACAAAAATCTCATGAGGTTCTTTGTAAAAACAAGTAGGAATGTTGAAATCACACCCAAAAAATATCACAACTTACAGCAGTTTATATTAAACAGGTTTTTTTTTTTTTTTTTTTAAAGAACAGCAAATAACAGCTCAAATAATGTTAGAAAAGAGTGAAGGGTAGTTGGGTAAAAAGGCTGAATCCCTCAACATTACAGTGATGATTGGAGTACCTTGGTTCACACTGCAAATGGTATCAATAATGAATAATAAAAGCTGATAATAATGAGCTCTAAACAGGTATTAATGACTAAAAAGAACCTTTTGGATACTCTGTAGTTGGCTGTGGTCAGGACGCCTGTTTTGGGGTCACGGACTGTTGCTCTGGCGAGCTGAAAAATAAAAACACAGAAATAAAGTGTTCGGACAAACTCTGAGATGTAATGATTATGATGACACTCTTTTCTTAAACATGTAGGTATATCTAGACATATATCTTTTGTTGTACGTCTTGTGTCAAGTGCAGACTTATTATTTATTTGTGTATTCATATTCTCACCCTGGGTTTAGCCAGCTCCTTGATCTTCTCAGTCTCCTGGTGTGACAACACCTCCAGGTAGCGTACGATGTGAGGACTGTCCCACTCATCCTCCTCCTTCATGGGCTTCAGCAGCAGACGAGGGTTCCTCTTCCCGTCCTGGTAGCGACAGAACAAGCGGCTTCGTCGTGCGTCGTTCTGGTGAAACAGAGAATGTTTTTATTTTAAGAGAGGCTCGATTTAGAGGGACTGGAAGGTTCTTGTAGGGTTATAGTGCGATTCAATATATTCCTTTCATCATTGTTGAAGCTCTAATCCAAAATCAAAACGATCTATCTACTCAATATAAAATAATTTAGACCAAAAGCATTTTCGTCATGAAAATAAGCACACTTTAGATTGCACGTTAAGATAGAAGTATTTCTTTACATTACAAACGACCTACTTCTCAATATGCTCACCATTTGGAGCCCCTCTCCTCTGCAGAGGGCCTCGTATTTCTCTCTCTCTGGGAGGTGGTCTTTAGGTCTGCGGTAGGTTCCCAGCAGGATGGGCTCCTCGGAGGCCGGCTGGTAGTCCTGGTTCTGCTCGTTGAGCTCCTTCGACAGTAACCGCTCGAAGTAACGCAGGTTTCCTCCTGCTCTCTGGTGGCCGGGGGCTGTCAGTACAAGACGAGTTTAATTGTTAGTGGATCAACTCTGAACTGAAGTTTAACAACCTGTAGAGTTTACTTTACGGCTTAATTAAAGACAATTAACTAGACTGGCAGCTGCTATTTACAGTAAACAGATGTCACCACTTCAACGCAGCATTAATGAACCTTAAAGCTGTGGAAGGAACTAAGTACTTTTACTGGAGTACTTCAATATCAGTCCAGTTTTGAGGTACTCCGCTGCAACTCAAGAGGGAAGTATTGTACCTTTTATTCAACAGCAATTAATGCAAAACATATGATCGGTTTATGAAATGAAATATTTACCTGCATGATGAGTACTTTTACTTTTGGTACTTTATGTACATTCAGTTGGTACTACGTGGTACTTTTATTTGAGTAACGTTAGAGTATTTCATGGTGATGTATTGTTTCCTTGCGTAAGTGATCTTAATTCTTCCAGCACTAGTAAACAAAACGAGACCGTAAACTAGTCGGCGTGATGACGCTTTGTTGATTCATTTAGCCACTTGTTAGCAACCGCCTTTTTTAAGACACATAAAAGCTTCAACTGACATTGACGACATTTAAATATCTTAAGTTTGTGAGCACAGTCCTTATTTTAGGCGTTTAACCAAAAAACCCACAACTAATACGGATGTGCAAAAATGCTAACACTTTTCCGAGTTTTACTTATTCCTGCACACTCTATTGCGACCGTTAGCCCGTAGCTAACTTCTGAATAAACTAAACCGACTTAGTCACGGACTCACTAAGGAGTAAATTTAACATCTTAATGCTTCATCCACACGCTTCTTTCACAGCGTAGGAAAACACATCACAACGTTGTTCGTCTTATTTTTTGTAACCAGTGTAGCATTAAAGCATGGTGGAATTAGCTAGCTAACTAGCGGACAGCTGGCTAGTTAGCTAGCTTGTTAATTCCACCATGCTTTAATGCTACACTGGCTACAGAAAATGATCCAAACAGCGAGCTGTTTTTTTTGTACTAGTCAAAAAATCACGAGACACAGTTCAATGTTCTACTCCTGTTCTATTTCTATGCCTCTAACTTTGTATTTTCTTTGTTGCTATTTTTCGGACAGTTACGTTTGTAGCTTTTTTAAATAAATGTAAATTACTGTGTAACGTTTCCCTGTAAAAACAGAATAAAAGTGCTTGCTTTGCTCTCTGCTCTCTCTATTTGCCAGTTAGGTTCTGATTTGCTTAACCTGGCCTTTACCTTGCTTCCTGCTTTTTCTTTATCATTTACCGATTCCTGCATTTAATGCATGTACGAGCTGTTATATGAGAATATTAAATGCTACTATTGTGGCACTACAGCAGGTCTACGCCTGCTACATCTGCTCTGGCTTAAGTCATTGCGATTGACATGTAAACGAGCGCACCACAGATCTTAAAATGATGGTCTGCAGCTGTCAACGCACACCCTCGATGCAGAGACTGAAATAACAGAAACCACGAGCTCTTACTTCGGATGGACAACGCCCTGCAGCTCTGGCACAGACCACCACTGCAGTGAGAGAGGAGGGTGAACCATAGTGATTAGTGAAACAACAAACCCATCCATTACCTCACAGTGGAGGAGTGTACCGGTCGGCTAGCCGGTGTCTGTATGTGTTATGGGAGGGAAACATTCAACAGTGCTACTTAAATACAAGAGCTATTCTAGACTTCTAAACAGCATGAACCCAGTCACCCGTCCTCCATGGTCACAAGAAAGACTGAGATGAATGAGTACAGGAAGTTAACTGATGTCATATTGGTAAATGGTTGAGTGTGAGAGGCTGCGAGAGCTTGAAATAGCATAAATACAAATGGGACAGCTCCATAGACATGTTATTTAATTGTGGGTTTTTGTTTGATATTTTTTGCTCCCGGATTCTAACGTCTTCCAGGCTTCTTACATTTAACTATTATTAGAGAGAGCAAGCGAGGATTTTCCGCAACCAGTGAACAGAAGTGACCATATTAGGACGGAGGAGGAGTGACGTAGAGACGCTGTATACGGTTCTGATGGAGACCTGTCAATCACCGTGTAGCCCCGCCCTAAAGCATCCCCTGCTTTATGGTCTGTTTGACTCTAAATGGACCATAATGTACTAAATGAACATCATGCTGTATTGAAGAAGACTTGAAACTAGAGATTGAGACCATAAACTCATGTTTACAATGTTTACTGAGGTAATAAATCAAGAGAGAAGTAGAGTCATTTTCTCATAGACTTCTATACAACCAGAGGAGTCGCCCCCTGGTGGACACTAGAGAGAATGCAGCTTTAAGACACCTCCCTCAGGAAAAGTCTGCAGAATTGTTCATAAAGGGATGCGAGAGAGCCCTCAAACAGATGACGATATGACAGTGGGACAGCTCTAAACTCTGATTTTATCTTACATCATCTGCACAACTTACAGATAGCCACCAGCCGCCGTGTCAGCTCGATGGCTCGGGGCAGGTCTCCCATCTGGTAGACGGAGTAGCTGAGGTAATCCAAAATGTCCGCCTTGGTAGCCACGGACTCCTCCCCGCCATCCAGCTGCTTCAGGGCCTGCTGCATCCACAGCACGGCGTGGTAATAGTCTGCGTCATTGTAAGCCGTCTTCCCCATATCGAAGCAGTCGTCCACCGTCAGTAAGATGTTGGAGTGCATACCTGGAGCCAGATTCAATACACCAAGAATCATGATGCATTCATCACATTTTAGTCATCAAACGTGGATCATGCTTGAAGACTGAAATTTTGTGTATTTATGATATTTATTTTTCTAATTCAGATGCTCACAATATATTTAGTATTTCAGTTTAGATTACTTTAACTATATTCTGCATATTTCCTTGCATGGGATTCCTACAGTCTGTCTTATCTTTAGTCTTTTTTATGATTAACTTATGAATCTAATCTAATTATTGTCCTCTGGTGCACACCTGCTTTAGCTTTTTATGTTTCTGTAAAATTTAGCATGATCTTAAACATGAAAATGCAATTTTCTACCTCAGCAGGCATCCGATTTGTCACTCTTTGGACATTTATCAGTTACAAATTGGTTTTAAGTTCTTTGAAGACTGGCAGGTTGAGACATGCAGTCGGTCATCTAAGGTTATGGATTCTGGCTCAGCATGAAGAGCTACGAGCACAAATGCTCACAAAAACACAAGTGAACACAGACGCATACCGACATGCAGAAGTGCACACCTTCACACCTTCTCAGACCTGTGTCGAGTCAAAATTGTGTTAAGAATGACACTGAACCTCGCAACTTCAAGTGCAACTAAAGTCAACATTTTTGATCAGTTATGATTTTGAAACCCGCTGAGACCCAATACTACCATCTTTGAATGGCTGCATTAGGTTTTAAAGCTAGAGTAAATATACAGGTATCATATGAAACTAGATGACCCAATGAATCCATCGGTACCAAACAAGGGAAAACTGGCATGGCGGTTTTCGGAGGATGCATGTTTTTGCAGGCAGTAAAAATGCATGTAAAGTGGTAGGTTTGAATATTTCTGTCTACTGGGGTCCCTGAAGCTTAGTTTATATGATGAGTGAAACCGGCGTGAGGCGCGTGTCAGAAAATGACATAATCACGGCCGTGCACCTCCAAACTTTTGTAATGTGGCGCGCACGATCACGGACAATTCGCTTTTAGATGCTTACGAAACAGGAGGAGTTAAAAATCTTAATTTGAGTAAATATTTTGAAGCCAAATCGAATAGTTTTCATGATATTCAACCTTTGTTCCTTCATAATGCTTTAAATACTAAACCTAATTATTTACAGTTCTTGTACAAAGGTAATAAAGTAGTCCATGAACATGAGATTTGAGTTTACAGATAATTACAATCCCTCCTCGTCATTGTGGAGGTTGGTTTATGGTGTTTTGCTGGTTACACCTACAGTCTACGGTCGTATCTATGAGTTACACTCGTCTGTTTTGATTCTTCACAGTTCTTACAGGTCTATGTAGGTCTCTAAGGATTAAAGACAATATGTGTACAAATAGAGTATTTCTGACTTTGCCTGCTCCCAGTAGTACTATAAAATACGACCACGGTGAAGACAGCAGTGCATGTTGGGTCCTCAGATCTGTGAAGTCCCTTTAAACCTCACTGTGATGAAGGTCTGTATTAAAAAAGCTGAACTTGAAGACAACAGATTCAACATGTGTCCTTGTATGACGCAACTATAACTGAGTCATTTGTTTCCTAACCACACGCAAATCTATCCTCAATCCAATCATTGTCCAACACCAAAGCATTAACTCTGAAATAACACTTATCTCAACCCCACCTTAAACCATCTTTAACCTCCAGCCTAAACCCTTGAAGAGGATATAACAACATGATCTTATTTCACAAAAATGTCCAGAACTATTAGTATAAACACAGCAGTTTAAAATCATTATGGGTGGGTTCAGTTTGCATTCCTCTCTTTCTTTCGTTAATGATCACACTAGTCTATCTCTCTCAGTGTATTCATGTTCAGTCTTTGGTTACCTGGCAGCTTTCCTGTGGAGAAGGCCTCAGAATCCAGTTGGTACGTGTCCTGAAGACGCATCAGCGCCTTGGCTGCACCCGTCTCATCCTCTTCATCTGGGAAGAACTGTCTGTGTATGGACATGTTGGAAATGAACCCTGCAGAGAAAAAGTCAGGTCGGGAATTTCACGATGGAAGTTAATTAAAGTTACTACTTTCACTTCGGGTTGATTCTGGAGGTTTTCTGTGGACTGAAGTGGTAGTGTTTCACCAGAGTCCCTTTAGAAAACCTCTCATTCTACTGCAGCAGGGTCTGACAGTCTGCCCCTATCAGTCCTGGTTCTGGTTCTCCCGTTGCCTCCCTTCCTTCCAGTTGGTCCAGAAATACATCCTGGGTCTCCAGCAGCGTGGTGTCGGTGTTGGCTCCCAGAGAGGAGAAGCTCTGCTCCTGGAGGGGGAGGAGGAGGAGGAGGAGCTGAGCTCTCCTCCTCCCTCCGGAGTTCCAGATCTGGGTCTGTCCACGTGGACCGGTCTCTGCTGGAGGACCTGGGTCTGTCCACCGTGGACCGGTCTCTGCTGGAGGACCTGGGTCTGTCCACGGTGGACCGGTCTCTGCTGGTGGATCTGGGTCTGTCCACGGTGGAACCGATGAAGCTCAGTGTCTCCTATGTGGCTCATGATGACGACTAACAATATCTAAAACTAATGTGTTGGAGAGATATGATCATGTTTGGTTGTTTGTATTCTTGTTATTTCATCACAACCTGCTGCTCAGTTAATCCTGAGAGTTCATAAAGAGACTCCAGAGGGCTGATGTGACATTTTCATTTCATATCTTTCTGTGATTTGCACGACTTGTGACGCATGAATGAGCCTTTACTGTATATGATGTGTGATTGGCAAAAGGCCAGATTACATTTTTCTTTTTCAGTTGCAATGTTTCTTTTAACTTTCTTTATCTTTACGGCAAAGTGAACACACACGCGTTTCCAAAACATAAAGCGGAAGAATCCATTCTCTTTATAAAACATTAAACTACCGTACGTCTTCAAAGGTTTACATCCAGTGTCTCTCTAGTCTCTCTCTGCCTCACGGCCACGTACACACACTCACTTGTACGACACATATTTCCTGCTATCTGCCTCACAGACGTTCAGGTCCAAACAACACACACAAGGACGAGAACACGGACAAAATATGCAGAGATGAGGAACAGCTGCAGCTGAAACATGACGGCCTCTTTTCTCTCTTGGGGAAAGTATTAAGAGATCAGCAGAAACGTCTACACTGCAGCTGCAGTGAGTCTCTTATACCGCTCTGCGTTTTAAATTAGCTGCTAAGAAAGGAGCCACGTAGAAAGAGCGGTGACTCACCAAATGCAGATTGGCTAGATTTGCCAGAAACTTCGATCCAACAAGCTGTTCTTTCTAGCACTCTCTGACGATGTTGAAAGCCTCTCTGAGGCCTCTCCTCTTGCTGTTTTATTCTGTCTCCTTCAACCAGATACTTCACTTCCTGCCTTTGTAACACATTTGTAACAATGGGGAGCTAATGTACTCCTTTTTATGAGAAAGTCTTTTATGAGAAAGTTCCACATCTGTGGAATACTACCACGACAAACATTAATATATCATAATTAGTTTTAACACAGAGCTCCAAGCAACGTAAAAACCCCAGCAAACTTGTCCACTCCTTCCTTCCTTCCTTCCTTCCTTTCCTTACCATCAGAGGGGTTCTGCAGCACCAGAGTCTCCAGTTCCGACCACTCTGTGTTGAGTCTCTTCATCAGCTTGTAGGCGTTCACTGGGTGGGCCAGGTAGCCCTCTGGGTCGGAGGTGGACGCTCTGGTCAGAGCGTCCAGTTTGTTGGCCCAGCTGTGAGACAGACAGACAGATATTATTAATATTTTTAACATGCAGCTTTACCATTGGGATTATGTAGAAGAAACGTTCCACAAGCAGAGATATTTTATCAAGATTATTACCATGGTATCTCTGTTTTAAGACGCAACACCAATGAGGCAGAACATGGAGTGAGGAGCTGGTTTCAAACCGACAAGTCATCACCAGCCTTGTATCACAATCCTACTTTGTTTGTCAGCCCGACACTTAAAGGTGCAGTGTGTAGAATGTGGCACCATCTAGTGGTGAGGCTGCAGATTGCAACCAACTGAAACTTCTCCAGCGTGTAGCAGAACTACAGCAGCCAAAATGTCCCTTTCTAGAGCCAGTGTTTGTTTTTCTGTTCTGGGCTACTGTAGAAACATGGCTGCCGGCTCTGTGAACACATAAACATCTCATTCTAAGGGAACAAAAACACTAAATTCTTAGTTTCAGGCGGTTAAACACTAAAGAAAACATACTCAATAATATTATTTTCCATTTCTGCCAATAAATCCCCCTAAAAAGTTAAAAGGTAAAAGTGACAAATATATTTTCATATATAACATTTACACACAGTTGTGTAGTTTAGTCTCGTGGTTCCCACTCTTGAGGTTGCGGCCCCTCAAAGGGCCAGAAGATAAATCAGAAGGGTCGTGAGACTTTCAGGGACTGTAGAAGATACTGACATCATATGAAACTAGATGACCTGATGAATCCATCGGTACCTAAATACTTGAGTGAAGTCTTTAGTCACAGGGTTTGAACGCACCTTTTGACAGCATCAAGCTTGGACTCCTCTGCTTTAATGTAATCCCTCAGAGACTGGACCAACTCTTTTTCTGTGTAGATCAGGTCGGTCATCTGGCCTGCAGAGAGAGACGGATACTATAAATCCAGCATCAACTTTCTTAATTTAAGGTGTCATGTTGCTCTCGAATTTTCTTAGAATCAGGTTAAAAAATATGCAGAAGATTTCTTTTAAGAAAGAGATTTTTACAAATTCTATTTAAGGAATCAGTGGACCACAACTATTTCTCATAAAAGCTATTCAGGGTGCCTCAAAATAAACTCAGACCGACTCTTTAACCACTTCCTCCATTTAAACCTTTTTTTAATGGCAAAGAAAGGTCCTGCATTCCTGAGCTCAAACCTGTGTTCTCGTCTACATGAGGAACTCTGGTGCTGCTATAAAGTGCTGCAGGAACGATGTACTAAAACTCCCAGACCGGACAACGTCTCTGGTAGCCACCTGTCACTCACTGTGTAGCCCCGCCCTAAAGCATCCCCTGCTTTATGGTCTGTGTGACTCTAAATGGACCATAATGTACTAAATGAACATCATGCTGTATTGAAGAAGACTTGAAACTAGAGATTGAGACCATAAACTCATGTTTACAATGTTTACTGAGGTAATAAATCAAGAGAGAAGTAGAGTCATTTTCTCATAGACTCCTATACAACCAGAGGAGTCGCCTCAATGTCCCTCGTGTCTCAAAGGACCAGAAGCTCAAACGTACTGATGGAGGTGTATATCTCTGCTCGTGTGGTCCAGCAGCAGCAGAGCAGCATCCAGAGGACGAAGGACAGGAACATCGTCATTCTGTCTCTTTCAACGACCTGCGAGGACGAAACATCATCACGTCACAAACAGATTCACACAATCTAACAATCCAGCCATTTCAAAATCACCTTCTTATTCTTGAACACATATAAAAAACAGTTTGCTTTTACCCTGAGTCAGCACTTTATGCAGTGATGCTGTGTTTCCGTACCAGATTACATGATGGTCTCTCAATATTCAGAGTTTCCAGCATGTTTCCTAGAAATGAGTCACGTATCCTGCTGGGAGGCTCTACATGCCCAGTTCTCTTTAAGAGAGAACAAAGACAATGTGGGAGAATAATAGTGTTAAAACTAAATATATGGAGTATATATATAGATGTTCATCTTCACCTCTCACAAACAAAATGTATATTATCAAATCACAATCTTGAAGCCCAATTTTCTCAATGTCTTGTTCTTGTAATGTAATAAAAATAGAAGTTAATTCTCCTTTTCTGCAGTTCAACATGGCTCCTAGATACTTCATGACAAATGTGAAACCAACAGGTTTTATATCCTTCAAATGCTGAACAGAAATGTAAAGATATATTTGAACCTATTGTGTCAACATTTACTATGATTTTCTTGTCAGAAGCGACCGTAGAGTTCAACAAAAGAGCTTAAAAAAGGAGGACTAAACGAGTCCAGCTTAGTTTGTGATCTCAGGTGAAAAGTGACACTGCTCCACTTTCTCCTCTTGGAGATGACTGTTTACTGTTGCCATGTGTAAAACACGCACATATACATACACATACACACACACACACACACACACACACACACACACACACACACACCGCAATCTAAGAGCTTAGAGAGGCGCAGAGAAGTGGCACCTTCATTATTGGTGTGGTCTGTATCTGCTGCAGGTGAAAAAAAGAAATCATTTCACTTTCATGACACGTGCTGACGAAACACAAGTCGACAAAATGAGTCACGACAAAGAGTTTAAGCTTTAAAGCTACAGTTGGCAACTTTAAGAATAATAAGCTTTTGTCAGATTTGCTCAAACTGTCACTATTTGACAAATAATCTGTGAATAAATGTAGCAAATGGGCTACATCTGCATTAGGTTGTGCAAACCGTCTGTTGTTTAATGACAGTAAATTATACTTAAATCCTTTAAGGAAAAACAGTTTGAACCAGGAGACATCTGTCTGAACCAGAGTTCAGTGGATCCTTCGTAAAGTCTTCAGTAAAACAAACATGGTGGACGGTAGAGTTCTGCTTGTTTGTGAGTCAAAGATGCCAAATGGTACAAACAAACAGTAGGTGTTATTAGTGAAGGGCTGAAGAAGAAGAAACATTCCTTTATTAGTCCCACAGTGGGGAAATTATTCTCTGCATTTGACCCATCCCTGTATATATAGGGAGCAGTGGGCTGCCAATGACAGGCGCCCGGGGAGCAGTTAGGGGTACAGTGTCTTGCTCAGTGACACTTCGACACAGGACACGGTGCAGCCGAGGATCGAACTGGTGACCTTTCGGTTTTTTCAGCCTTCCCCTGTTTGTTTGATGCTTTTTAAATGTATTTCATTTAGTGTGTCCTGCATCAACGAGTCAGATCAGCAAAGATTTGTAATTTTAGAATATAAAAAGTGTTGTAAATCACTCTTTAAAGGAGAGACATTCACAAACAACTCTCATCATCATCATCAGGTCCTTGTTTAGCTTCCAAAGTGTGACAGAAGAGTGATTCTGGTTTCTTAATGAGTGCCAGGTCAGATAACTACCCACAATCCCCGGCTACAAATGAAAGGACCACATCTCTCTCTCCTTGTAATTTACGGGCTGTGCGCCGGCTCAGCCCAAACACAGCCCCTCCTGTTGTTGCAGGCTGTAACACCCACCACGTCACATTCCTGGAGAGAGGCCTGTTACATTTACTGCCCCCCCGACACTCGCCTGGCATTTCTGGCCGACGAGAGGAAACAGCAGTGAGGACAGGACGGGTCATGAGAGGACAGACGGCGGTATTTTGAACGGAGACATTGAATGCACCATGTCTTCCTGTGTTCTATGCATTCAAACAAATATGCAAAAGAAACAACAACACACACACTTTCCTCAAATTACGACCACAAAGATGATCAAATTGTAAGATAACACAACCTAAAGTAGACCAGTGTATTCTTGCACAATCTTGGTGCGTAATCAAGACAACAACCAACAGGAGATCCTTTCTCCAGACTTTATACTGTTTTACATGAAGGTGAGGCTCCAGATGAAGAGATAAGAAAGCACAGCAACACACACGCAAAGCAGGCAGGACCCAAGGTCTCCAATTGGGAAAGGCTTTCTTTTAGGAGCAAACGTTTCCTCTAAAAACAGTAAAACTTCCAACATCTGCAGTTGTTCTGTTCTTCTTTTAGCTTCTTTTCTTTTCTCACTTGACAACAAATCCACTGAGGACAAAAACCTGGCTGAAAAGGAGCAACAAGCTGCCTTTTGGGTCACACAAGAGCCAATTGGGGAAGTTGTTCAAATAATGTTTTTCTACTGTTTTGAGGGAAAGCAGACGAAAAAAATAGGTCAAGAGGTCTGAAAACCGATTAAATCTAAAGCGCATCTTTCTAAATCTTTATTTTCCCAGAGAGTTTAAAAAATATATAATTTTATAGCAAAGATGCAAAATAGACAAATCTGTAAATTAATTGTGTTTTATGGGTGTTTTGCTGGATGTAAACACGGTTTACGTTACTAAAGAATGAGAGCTAAATACCGCAAAACGCTCTCAAAGTCAAGATGCTCGTCAACACTTTCCCTCCACACTGAGAAGCCTCTAAGTGGTGAACTGAGACCCAAACAAACAAATGGTTAACAGGTATTCTTCTCGCTGATGTTAATCGGTAAGCAGGGCTGGCATGTACTTACTCTCCCCAAAGACACATCACACACACACACACACACACACACACACACACACACACACACACACACACACACACACACACACACACACACACACACACACACACAGACACACGTGTGCACACTGATGCATAGATATTACGCAATACGCCACATAAAGTATTCACAGGCCGTGAGCGTGCTCAGACAATCCTGAGATTTAACTCGCTGCTCCAGCAGAGAAAACTATTTCAGATTCAAAAGTTCAAACTTGTCATTGGTGAGTGGATAGAAGACAAATAGCTCCACCTACACTGAAACTGGTCCTGAACCAGTCTCACTGTAGTCCTGATCCTCTTTCAGACCTCCATCAGTAAATAGACCATCAGAGAGAAGATGGTCTGTTTCTATAGAGTTATTCTTAATGCTCGTCATCGGAGCCACCGGGTCGGATTCTGGTGAAACCAGATGAACTCATGCAGGTTCACCAGAAACTCCTTCAGCTCAGATTCCAGCAGATACCGGTCCACCGTGGTCAGACCCAGATCCTCCAGCAGAGACCGGTCCACCGTGGACAGACACAGATCCGGAGCGTGGAGGAGAGCTCAGCTCCCGGCAGCAGCCAACACCGACACCACGCTGCTGGAGACCCAGGACGTATTGCTGGACCCGCTGGAGGGAAGGGAGGCAACGGGAGAACCAGAACCAGGACTGAGAGGGGCAGACTGTCAGACCCTGCTGCAGTAGAATGAGAGGTTTTCTAAAGGGACTCTGGTGAAACACTACCACTTCAGTCCTCAGGGACTTTTGCTCCAACTTTCACTTCCACTCAACATCACATGACGGGTGAAGAATCATTTCTAGTTTTGCAACAATTTCGCAACTTCACACAATCAGCCAACCAATAGAAACACATTGTAGTGTCTCTCTGCTCGGAGACAAAGGAAGTGAGCGTTTCCAACATCGTTTATCAGACCTGTGAACTCGACAACAAAATACAGTAACGGGTTAAAAAGTATTGAAAGTGCACGTCCAAGATTTGTGCAAATGTGCTTCAGATGCAATGAGAGCTGAAACATCTGGAGCCGTACTGCAGCTAAAATTAGGCTGAATATGTTTTACTCTGAATGACAACCATTTCTAAATGTTCGTAACACACACATTCTTTTATGTGCATGAGAGTAAACATACACACCGTCAACGTCCAAAAGCCTTTTTCTGGTATGTAAACACTGAAGGCTTATATAAACCATGTTTAAGAAAAAAAAAACAAGACAGTCGTGCTGTAGTGAATATAAACCAGCCAGACATTTAGATAAGCATTGCTTCAACATTTATGATTAAAAAAGACATACAACCAGAAGATAGATAGACATATGAGAGATCAGAGATATGATTTAATAAAGCAGCCGTATCTAAAATGACATCTTCCTCTTTAGAGTGCATGTCACCTGCCTTACAGCCCAATTAATGCTGACAGGTTTATAGCATCGCTCTTTGTGTTGCCTCTCCAATTATACCAAATCCAATTTCTGCCATTGAATGGCTGCAGGGCGTCTTTCACCTGGCGCACATGCAACCCTTTTATTCTAGGACTGTGTGTGCAGGGATGTTTTGCGGTATTTGCCGAGGGTGGAGAAAGCTAATGTCTTTGTCTATTTTCAAAGCTAACAGGAAAGAATCAAACTGGACCGTGTAATGAACCGGAAACTGGAGAAGAAATGGCGAGCTAGCAAACTAACTAGCCAACCAGCTGCTAAATGAGTTGTAATTTTACAGCTTAAATATTTCAGCCACACTCTCTTGTCACAGCGTAAGAAAACACATTGCCATCAACAGATGAGTGACAACTTTGTCCGGCTCATTTTCTGTAACCAGTGTAGCATGAAATCATGGCGGGACTAGCAAGCTAGCTAAATAAGTAGCTAGTTGTACACTGGTTAGCTAGCTAGCTTGGTAATTTCACCATGCTTAATGCTACACTAGTGACTGATTAGAACCATAGACTGTATATAAGAAGTGGACGTGGTCATCGTGATGTCACCCATTGGTTTGTGGACTGACATTTTGAAAGCCTCAAGTTCTGCAATTTCGGCGTCGCCATTTTGGATTACGGCATACTCTGCTTTATGGACTGTTTGACTCTAAATGGAGCATAATTTACAAAATGAACATCCTGCTGTATTGAAGAAGACTTGAAACTAGAGATTGAGACCATAAACTCATGTTTACAATGTTTACTGAGGTAATAAATCAAGAGAGAAGTAGAGTCATTTTCTCATAGACTTCTATACAACCAGAGGAGTCGCCCCCTGGTGGTCACTAGAGAGAATGCAGCTTTTAAGACATTTTATGGCAGGGGTGTCCAAACTTTTTTCAAAGAGGGCCAGATTTGATAATATGAAAATGCCCAAGGGCCAACAGTCCCTGCTGACATTATTTTAAACAATACAAGTAGCCTATACATACATTGTTATTTCATCATTTTATTTTCAATGACAGCAAATAGCAATGTAACCAAATGTAAGCATTCATGTGTGACCGGACTTTGGACATGCCTGCCCTAAACCTTAGTTGTTTCCTGTGAAGATGGAAGTTTATTTTGAAAAGACAGTATGCATGTAACAAGCGAAAACAGACTCATGTTGCTGGACTTTTGCAGGAAAAACACATGAAAAGTGAGGAGTAATATTTCGTAGGATATCAATAAAACGGGGATGAATTTATATCATTGTATAAAGCGAGTGACATGAGAAGATCAATCTCATGTCTGCAAGTTAAATCAGCTAAAATCGCTATTTTAAAGTGATTAGTGACTCGTCTAAAACATATAAAAAAGGAATAACTTCAATAGAATCATTCTATACACTGTAGCTTCTTTACATTCTATTAGAATGTAAAGAAAGTTACATTCTAATACAATGTAAAGAAGTTACAGTGTTGCCTTTTCTTTTCTTTTCTTCCCACAAGAACGTAATTTTGTCAGGTTGATAAAAAAAATGTCACTTTACTTCCTGACATTATTGTTACTTTATGGCAACGGCACATAAAAATGGCCACTACTATGACCATTGTGCTTAGTTGATTTGAATGGGAAATGTCTCACTCTACTCCTACTCTACTTCTACTGTAGTACCCCAAATTAAATGACACGCTACCTCTTTTTAACCATCCTCAGACTGTTGAAACAATTCTGGAGAGGATTTTTTTTTTCTATCTGGATAGCAAACCATCCTGGTGACGTCACATAGTCGTTTCTAGGAATCCCCAACACTTATAGGGTCCCCCCGCCCATTAATGTCCTTCACGAGCAGACGTTTGTATTAAACAGCACCAACGTTCAAATTATTCGCGCATGCGCGATGAACACTGTTGTGAGATGCCTTTTGCCACACAAATAAATAAAAAAGTTAGTATAAAACTTTCAGAAAACTTTCTCCTTCCACCTTGTTTTCACTGCTTTTAGAAACGTAGAAACAAACATGTCGGTAGATAAACACGACAACAACGAGCCGTTGGTACGCGTACCTTCACGGGTACCACACAAAGTGTTTGGTTGGTACCCCCCCCCCCCCCCCCAAAAAAAACTAATCCTGTTGAACCCAGTTATTGACAACCATCATGTTCGACAGGCAGCGCGAGCTTCAACGGTTCAGTGACGTAAACGTCGTTGTAGTATATCGAACGTTGTTATCTTACCGTTATTCTCTCGCGACCTACAGAGGGACGTCACACGCTGGTATGCGGACGCAGTGTCAGTTGGCACACCGGAGTTATGAACAGGACGGACAGGGTCTGAGGGTTTTGACGCTGCCACGTACAGATCCTCCGGGAGGGATTACCGTAATACTGCCAGTAGACACGCAGGGACATTCTTCTACGAGTTTTGCCCTCGAGTGCGCCTCAAAAACTCTGATTTCTGAGATTTAGGTTGGAAAAAACGAGATTTTCTTTTACACGGTAGAAGCTCCATCATGTTTGTTTTAAGAATTAACTATACCAGGACAAGAACCATTAATGCTTTAAGAACCAGTGGTGGAAAAAAAGACACTTTACTTACAGTTAAATTACATGGTTGTTGTAATTTAATATTATTATATTTCATTGTATATATTGTGCATTTTATATCTAATATTTTACTCTGTTATTCCCATTGTATATATTGTGCATTTGATATTTGCATTTGATATTAATATCTATCCATCCATCCATCCATCCATCCATCCATCCATCCATCCATCCATCCATCCATCTATCTATCTAATACAAAACAACCATTAAAAATCCTGCATTCAAAATGTTACTGAAGCAAAAGTACAGTAATATTAGAAGTAAAATGTAACCTACTGAATATAAGGAACTATTTACAATTGTATTTAAATCTATTACTCATGTGCAAAATATATTTGCTGTAGACATGCCTTTTATTCCCAGTCTCCAAATGCCATCTATTATAATCAATAAGTCTCTTTGAATAAAAACAAAGAATTGTAGATGGAGAACATTCAAACGCACTTTTGCCTCTACAGTTCAATCTTTTATGATCTTTACGGTAATGTATCCGTGCAGTCGGTCACGTTTACGGTTTGGATCTGAGTTCCTGAGTTTGTTCTCTGGATCTACTGAACACCATCTGGAAAAAAAAGGAACCATGTGGACATGGCTTTTCAATGCCGTCTGGTTCTGGAAGTTTCTGTGTTCTGTTCGTGTGCTTCATCTCTCTCTGGTGTTTCTGTATTATGAGCATGTGGGACTAAAGGGAGAAATATGATTTAATTTAATCCCACATAAGATTGGAGACACTGTAATCAAAGCTACTTTTGTAAGAGGACCACATGTCTTCGTTAGAGCAACATACTGTAGCATATACTGTATACTGTAAAATATTGGCAGAAAGATCAGTTGACATTGTGGGACATTTTTCTAGATTACTTCATTATAAGCAAAGTAATGCACAATTTGACACATTATATGGGGGCCACTAAAGCTGCCATTATAAAATAATATTTGAATAAATAAATGACTCAATAAAAAAAAAAAAAAAGAATAAAGAATGAAATGTAGAAATAAAAGCTTCAGTTATCAAACAATTGTGCAGGTTAATGTGAAAATAAATAAATAATGTGTAAATGTATTTATCTATGTGACCAATTACTTATTTTTTATTAATTCATTTTCATAATTAATTTATATACAAAGTTATAATTTTCTATTGACATTTATTTAATTTTTTATTTATTTTCCTAGTTTATTATTTCTTAACCTGCACATTTATTTGATGATTGAGGCTTTTATTTCTACCTTTATTTATGTATTATAGTGTCAGATCTATCCGCGATGTATTTAAAAAAATTTAAATATAAAAAAAATATATAGAAGACTCCACTGTTATATAAAGGACCTCATTATATTTCTAATCAGAAATCTCATATATTATAGGTATTTATAAGGGTTATATAATCCATGGATTTATATTGCTAAAGATCTTGTGGACACTTGGAATGGAGTCACCACAAGATAAATGATAAATATCAGTTCAGCATGAACTTCATCTCTATTGGCTTGTTTCTGTAAACAGAAAAGGAACTCGTCCCAAAAGTGAGCCGAGCAGAGAAGAACCATAAATGCAGCTTTTGCTGCTCTTTTATATTTGTTCACTTAAACTGACCTTTCACTACTGTTGAGTTACAATCTCTCTCTCTTACAATCCATGAGCCATTTCTCTGAGGGCCGGAATGTTCCTGCTTCGTCTCCTCCACACTGACTCCTCATGACTCATCAGGAGAGGAGGCAGAGTGTGTTTAGAGAGAAAGAGCAGACGCTGCTGCAAATATGTCGGTGGATTTCTTTAACCTCAAAGCTGACGTTGTTCTAAACGTTCTAGTTTCTTGTCCTACTTTCAAGATAATTGATTTTTCTGAACTGTTTCAGAGGTCTGCTCTAGATAATGAATCACTACTTCTGTTTGGGTCCCTGCCATAAAACATGGTTAAATACATTACTACATCTGTGATTTGTATTACTATATATATTGTTTTTTTTCCTATTTGGTTCAAATCCGTTTTTTTGTCACCTTCATACAATGTGCAATATGCAAATATAAGGATTTAATAAAAGTCAGAAGAAAAGACAAAAAATACTCAAAGGAAATACATTTTTCTCTCTCTGTCCATCCATCCATCCATCCAGCCTTCCTTCCATCCATCCATCCATCCATCCATCCATCCTTCCTTCCTTCCTTCCATCCATCCATCCATCCTTCCTTCCTTCCTTCCATCCATCCATCCATAGTTCCTTCCTTCCTTCCATCCATCCATCCATCCTTCCTTCCTTCTATCATCCATCCATTCTTCCTTCCATCCATACTTTCTTCCATTCATCCATCCATCCATCCATCCATCCATCCATCCATCCTTCCATCCATACTTCCTTCCTTCCTTCTATCATCCATCCATCCATCTACTGTGATATCTGCCCCATAGATTGAATTCAGCAAAGACCTAACACTGAAGAAAATGGCAGCTCAATATGGATCCTGTTTGATTGATAAAATAATTGAAGAAATGATTCCAGACATAAATCAAAAAATATTCACATTTAATTTGGACAGCGTTGGAATCAGGATGACATGTTTGTTTGTGTGATTCTAAACTGAGGACCAATAGAGCTGCACCGTCCATTAACGTCCACTGAGTGTCAGCAGCATTCAATGGATCGAAGACAAGCTCCCTCACTGGGAACCTTTACAGTAAAGCTTTAAAACATCCAGAAATCTCTTGTTGTTTAACTCTGTTGATAAATCTGACAGAGTTTTTACTTTGATTCTGTATCTTCTTCCAAATAAACAGCTGGTTTTGCTTGTAACATAAAGCTCCATGTCATAGAGGGATGTTTCCCAGGTATACCTGTCTTTTTCCCAGTGGGTGACTACTTTCTATCTCTCAAGTTTGTTATTATTTGTTGTCAGCCCCAGCGGTTAAAATTCCCATGAGCTGGAACGACTAGAAGAATGAAACTTGGCCCAATAACTGGAGATAATGTGCAAGTGCTTCCAAGGAAATATGATTCCAATTGGCCAAATGGTGGCGCTGTAATTAAAACCCCAAAAACACTGTTGAACACTATCCGATTGACTTGAATTTTGACCCACATGTACAACTCAATGTGTTCTACAAAAAAGCCTCAAGCACTTAGTAAGTTTGATTGCAACCAAATTTTCTGTGAATCATTACTTGACCAGGCTTATCAAAACTTATCAAATCCTTGTTGGTATCTTATTCAGTTTTCAAGATATTGACCAACGAGCTTCAAAAGGAGCCAGAGTGGCTCGGCACATAACTCGCCCAAAGTCAACAACCGTTGGGCCAATCATCGCAAAACTTGCAGGATATGTCCAAAAGAACACACCCTGAAAGTTTCATTCAAATCAACAACTAGGGGAAGCTGCAAATGCAAAAACAAAATGAGCGAGTCACAACATAAATCAGACTATAAATTGTTTGTCCAATCAATGCAAAACTCACAAGACATGTTTCATAACAATGCTGAACCACGAGTGTAAAACTATTTTGAATTCGCTCAATAGGGGCTTCCACTAGTTTCAAACATGTGCACGGGCCTAGCTTGAATTTGTCTTTTAAATCAATGACCGTCTAAACATCACCAAACCTGCTGGATATTTCTTTAATCTAGCAGTTGAAACATGTGCCAAAAATCCAGAGAAATATGTCTTTCGAGACTTTGCACTTACTGAAAGTCTGCATACATTGTAATGATGATACAAGTGTGTGAAAGGTCTCAGTCCTTTCTTTCGACAGACTTAAATAAAGAGGCTTTGATTTGAGCAATTGAGCTATATTTAGCTTTTATTTAAATTTTATTTTAAAGAGTCACAAGCCAAAATGTTTGGGAACCCCCTGACTTACAAGACACCACAGAGATGAATCCTTAAACTGTTTTCATGCTGCATGCTTTGGTCACCAGATGTCACCCTTTACCCGTTTCACACCCTGACGCTGTGTTACACACAGAATGTTATCACTGTCTCACACGATCTGTCACGTTTAATCCATCACATCCAGTACGACACAGATCGTATCTTGTTTGTTTGTAGCACACCTGCAGCTGAAGCAAGCAAGCGACTTTCCCACAAATACTGCACAATGAAGCAGAAGAATGGGTGCTATCATAAATCTGGCCTTGTTGACACAACGGGGCGTTTCTGTTGAGCTAAACACAAAGGTATTCTGCTGTCAGGGTTGAGGACTAACACGTCAACCCATCAGGTACTTTTTACACCTGAGCAGAGCTATATAAAAAAACAAAGGGCTGTGAAACTGTGATTTACGGATTACACATAAAGAACTGAATGTCTGGAATGTCAGAAGCACATTTAAGAGTAGAAAACAAAACCGTAAAACAAAGCAGAGGAATGTGTCGTCCATCTTTAATGTAGTGTCTTGTGAATGTGACGTCAGTGCACGAAATATGTTTTCTGGTACGTACGTTGTTTTTTCTCCGAGTGTCACATGACGACAAAATGACTTCAGAAAAACCAAGCATCTACCGCCACCCAATCATTTAGTTGAGGTTAAAGCTTTCCAGATGTTTCAAGTGCGTCCTGACGGTAAGCCTCATCCTGTGTCCGGTAAATCACAAAGGTCACAAGGTCAGAGATGCTCCCTTGATTTTTTTTGCAGAGATGATTTAGAGAGGACACACTCGGGAGAGACAACATAGCCCACAGTATGTGAGCTGCTGTACTAGCCGATGTTTTGCTTTGTGTTTGAGTGATTGAAGGTGAAC